TGCGCTCGAGCAGCCCGCTCTTGCTCGAGCGCCGTCTCCTTCTCCTTTAGGGCAGCCTCTTTCCCCGCCACTGCTACTTCCTGCACCACAAGAACGACTTCTTTCTCCGCAAGAGCTTTATCCTTTCCAATGAGCTCTTCATCAAGAGACTTAACCTTGACTTCGAACTCGGCCTTTTGCTCTGTTTGGGTCTCGCAGAGTTTAGTGTTGTGGTGCAGGAGGGTGGAATTCTGGTCGTTCACAGAAAGAAGGATGGCCTCGAGACTCCTGATAGACTTCCCAGAGCTCTCACGAGCTTCCTTGGCTAAGGGCAAAAATTTAACCAAGCCCTGTAATTAAAGAAGGCACGACAATTTAGCATATATATGTGTATAGAAAAGAAAGATGAAAGAAGAAGATTGAGATAAGCGTAGGACGAACAATATCTGGGCAAGCCATTGCACAAGCTGGTCACCGAGCTCGGGCAGGGTAACACCAGCGGCTTTACGGTCATCCTCGAGGAGCACACCCTCGAGGCGATCAACCACCTCATTCACTGGCGCCACGAGTAGAGAGGAGGAGCTCGAAGCCAAAGGGTCGATCGGAGTATGGCTAGTGCGCACATGTTTCCAAAACTGTTTCCAGTTGGTCGGTGCGAGGGCGCTTTCCCAGGGCCATCTCGCGCCCTGGGTCATCCTGACCACTGGATTCAACCAGGGCTTCGGTCGAGCCAGCGAAAGGGTTTTTAAAGGATGGTTGGTCGAGAGGAGTTTTCTCTTGTGTTTTGGTTTTGTAGGAGGTATGATGTTCGAAAGACCGGTCTTTTGTATGGGAGGTAGTGGTTTGGCTGTTGGTTTTTTGTGAAGAGGATTGGCTGGCGATATCTTTGGGAGAGGTCGAGGTTTTAGCCCTGGCTTTCTCAAGGGTGGTCGAACCCCTGGCCCCAACTTTCTCAGAGGCGGTGGAGTTTTTGGTTTCGGTTCTCTCAGGGGCGGTGGAGGTTTTAGTCCTAGTTTGTCCGGGAGGCGGTCGAGCAGTGGTGTTAGGAGGAGGAGGTGGGGTTTGTCGTTCTTGTTGGTGTTTTTGGTGGTGGTCTTGGAGCTGTTGGTGTTGTTGCTTCTGCGGTTGTGGTTGTTGTTGTTGTTTTCGTTGTTGTTTTTGCGGCTGTTGCTGATCTTGTTGCTGGGGCGGTGGTTGTTGTTGTGGTCGTGGTTCTGGATGAGAGGGCGTGGTCGAGCCCTTGACCTGATGGACGTGGTCGTCGGTCGATCCAGAGGTGGACCCGGGGCCAGACTTCTTCTTCAGAGGAGTCTTCCTCAGAGAAATGTTAAAGCTGGGCACCTCTGCAGAAAATCACAAGAAAAATTAAAGTCGACAAAACACACTTGAACAAGAAATAAAGAAATACATGAACACTCGAGCAAACTGATCGAAAATTACGTGGATCATTCTCAATCCTAATCAGATTAAGAACTTCGTTGATGGGAGGAGAGAAGACCTTGTGGGTGAGCAAACCACAGTAATGGAGAAGGTTGTCATTCTTAAGGAGAGGGATTGACGCAACGGGTTTGGAATTCCAAACATGAATTCGTTGGTCGAAAAGAGGATTAGGAGAAGGGTTCGTCATGTCCGCACTCTCTTGGGGAAGTTCCTTGAACCAAGGAGAAGGGGCCCAAGGAAAAGGAGTATCGGGCTCGATATAGGCAATAGTATCGACCCATTTGAGATGTTGGAGGGGATGTCTGAGATAAAGTGGGCGTTATTACGACATTTCAGGTAAAGGCCACGGGCCTGTTTTGAAGGGGCGTAGCAGTAATGGAAGAAAGCCAGGCCGAATTGACCTAACCGAACACGAGATAAAATTATGAAGGTGGTCATGAAGCGAATGGCGTTGAGAGAGAGCTGGTTTAAGGGAAGCCCGAACCACTTGCAGATGTGGAGTAGATCGGGGCTGAGAGGAAAGTGTATGCCGAGGTCGAACTGAATTTTAAAGAAGGTGTTGCAGTTGGAAGGAGGGCGATCATAGGTATCCGAGGGAGAAGGACGATAGAAGCCCCAGCCGGAAGGAAGACCAACTTTGTCACCCTCTAGCCAGTTGATTGAATGAGAAGCAGGGGAGGTGGATTTGGAAGCTTTGGTCGGGGATTTCTTTGATGGAAAGGTGGAAGTGTTAGGCCGAGGGGAAGAAGGGGGAATGGTCGAAGATGTAGAGAAAGTAGGTTGAGAAGAAGTGACCTTGTCCTCCTATGGCTAATCTAATGAGCCAAAAGCAGGTCGACGATGGCATAGGGGAATGTTATCCATGGAATCCCTGAAATTAGGAGAAGAAACGCGGGCTGTAAAAACGACGGAGGGAATGGTATCACCAGGGCGAAGGATGGAGAGATGAACATCTCCGAGTGCAGAGGGCAGTACTTGAACCGAATCAGAGGAGGTGGTCGAAGTAGCAGAATCTGAAAAAACAAAGAAGAACAATATCAAAAAGGGGAATTTCGGCGAAAAGAAAAGGAGGGGAGGAGAAGGTTTCCAAAGCTAGGGTTTTCTGGGAGGAAGTGATTCTGAAAAATCCAAAGAGGAAAGAACAGGAAGTCCAAAACATTGCAGAGGAAAAGCAAAATTCACAACGATCAACAAACAAATCACAATATTCAGAGCACAAATTCAGGATAAAACGCGCAAATCCAGAAAATTCAACAAACAAATTAGGGATACCCAACACGAAAAATTCAAAGAGCAGGCAAATTTGAAACACATGAAATGTAAATTTAAGCGAGGAACAACTTACTCATAGTCGCAGATGAAGAAATTGAGGAAGCCAGAAGAGTGCAAGAGAAATCGCCAAGAAAGAAAGCAAGGGTTACAAGAAAAGCTCATAGTACGAAGAGTTCGAAAATTGCAAAGGTGGAAAAACTCAGAAAATTCGCTAAGTGTTGAATTTATACCTAGATGATTTGAAGAGTTGAGAGATAAGGGCTGTTGGATTAAAGCAAAATCTCGCGATGGGGGATATCCAATTAAAACAGGATTGAAAAGGGACACGTTATGCGAAAAGGTGCAATAATTAAAGCGACTGACAGAAGCGGCAGGTGTGACGCGTGGCAGGAAAGCAGGTTCGACAGAAAGGACGTGTGGCAGACAACTTTATTGCTGGCAATTAAAGAAGTATTAATTCAAAAAGTGAGCGGGAAACTCATCAGATGGTCGATATATGACATCTTGCCATCCAGGAGAGCGCGAGCACAAATTCACTCTTGGATTGAGTCATCCAGACTCGACTAGAGTGGGGGAGACTTGATGATATAGGATATTATACCCACAAGGCTAAACCGGTCAGCTGAACCGGTCGAAGAGGCCATAACGTGAAGAAACCAAGCCGAGTGGCGGGAAAATCGACCAGCCAACCAGTCAAGCAGTCGACCAATCCATCATTCGACCAGGTAAACGGTCGGGCAGTTTAGTCGAACTCAACAGGTCGACCACTTCGCGGACATAACGCTTTATGAATCGGCCTAGTCACAGGCGCGTGTAAGAGCCTCTAACGGAATTTCAGGAGAATATTCACTCAATGTGCAGAAGGACACGTGTCGAGAACACATTGGTTGATAGCGACAACCACCTCTGACAGCTCCCAACGTCCCGCACCACCTTTGACATGTGCGCGGTGTGTCAGAGTACGGACGGGCAGCTTGGGCAGCCAACTCACCAAATTCGGGCAACCTTAGGTCAGGTATCTCACTCCTATATAAAAGGGGTGAGCCTTTCTTCCTTAACACGATTTTTCCATTATTCAACTCCAATATACTCATACACATACTGATTTAAGCATCGAAGGCTCTTCACCGGACACAACCCCCGGTGTGAGAGTTATTTGCAGGTTTTCGGCGTTCTACCGGCGAAGGCGAGGTTCGATCCATCCTAAACCGGGCGAGCACGCTCACACTTGCATTAGCGTTGATCATGATTAATTTTTACGCCTCCGAACACATGTCCATCCTCAAAGGGGTGGTCGATACATGCCAACATCTAGCCTCACGGCCTTAATCATGATGGATTTTTTTTATGCAAGTGACCTCCACTGAGGTTACACCAGCTACTCCCGATAAAATAACTCAATAACTCAACAATTATACGGTTTAAAAGAGGTTTCATTAATCATAAATAGAAATCTCGATTACACCATCTTTGTTAATCCTTGAAGAAATGAGCCCATCTTTGACCTCCCTATACTCAGTCACGGTTCAGGACCTACACACCTCCAATAACAAGACGACAAAAGAACACGGGAAAACGACATAAAGCACCAAAAAAACTAAAATAAAATAAAACACAAGAGAAACGACTAGGTGGACTGAAAAAACTAAGAAAAGACCTAAAATGGGAGAAAAATAAAAGCAAAACAATAACGAAAACAAGAAACAAAAATAGGACAAACAACCGCCAGATCCTGCCTTTCCCGAGATCTCCTTGATGTCTTTGACACCGGGATTAACGTCGAGCGGGGTGCCAACAATGTTTCCTTCAGTGTAACAGTTGCGTCAGCCAACGCCGATAAGCTTGGTGGAGGGCATGTTCCAAGCGATGGCGATGTCCACGCCGCATTCAACTCTTTAATTGAAATTTTTTTTTTTGGAATTCTCGCATACCATGATCTTCAAAGTTTCTTAGTAACATTTATTGAGAAAATCTGACTAGCCTTTTTTATAGGTGGTGAAAGACTAGATTCTGACTAGATTCTTCCACAAACGACGCCAATTTTATATGCAAATTGCCTTGACCCGAATCGAATCACACAATCTTCACGTGTTCCTACCAGCTCGAAGCTTCGGTAACCTGCAATGTGACGGAAGGGTCTCGACATAGACAATACAAAGTTAGTATTATATGTTTGAGGGAGTACTAAAAATTGTAACCACGACCGTATGTAATGTTCTAATTAAGTAAAAGAACCTAGTTACCTCGACTACGTAGGGTAGTTTGACCCAAGTGAATCCCAGTGACCTTAAATAGTGAAGTATGAGTGAATGTTTGGTATCTTCTCTCGCTCTTTCAAATCCAACAGCGGAATAATTTTCGAAATTGCAGCTAAAGTGATGTCCAACAATGAATCACCTGGTATTGTATTGCATATTGTCACTGTGGCTGGAATCCAGTTTCATTTCTGTCCAGTATGAATTGAGAACTGTAAATATTATTGCCTTTGAAAAATAAAGGCGAACTCGATTCGGGTTTTTTTTTTTTTTTTTTTTTCACTCATTGCAATTTGATAGCTCGTACATTTCATTCTTCCTAAAAAATAGGATGTCTTTCTTAATTTCTTGTTTAATCGAACTATATTTTCTTCAATTTCCTACTGTTTGATTTGACTAATCGAACTGCATTGTCTCGAAACTGACTAGTTGCTGATGTTTTTTCTTGCTTGAATTTAGGGTTTGGTGTGTAGGTTCCATTTGCTCTGTAAATTATTGCATCTACGAGGATTGATGATATTTAATGGCAAATTATGAGGATGTTTATGTATGATAAGCATAGTGGTTTCACCTTTTTTTACTGTCGATAATTTGGTCATGATTGATTTAAGGTTGTCGTCTTTATATTTTATGATGTAAACTAATATTTGTTTGAATTACTGATCCGTGCAGAAAATGCATTGAAATTCATGATATCAGGCCCCAGAGACATGGGTCTTGCAGCCAGAAGCGCAGAGAATAAGCCGTTTGACTTTCTTGGCGTTCTATACGGTACATGTACTTTTATTTGTATACATGAATTTGCGCCAAAAACCACGAGCTCTACTCTTTAACTAGGCTAGGAATCTAACTCTGGATATGATGACCTATCCAATTGTTTCTAAGGTTCCCTTTTTTGCTTATATTTATCGAATGATCTTTTATATCTGAGTTCATTAGCTTGATGTTTATGCTGTTTCTCTCTCTCAGGATATGATCTTTAGGCATGCTCATTAAATTGCAATGTGCCTTCATAGATATGGTTATAATAATAAAATATAATGTGATGTGTAAATGTCTTAAGCTATCTAATATTGATGTGGAGACATTATATCCCTCTTCTTCTTTTATTACCTGTACTATTCTTGTATGGTTTTTGCAGAGAGTGCTGTGGCAGGAGCTGCTGCTGGGGCAGTGGTGGAAGCTGTTTTATATCCGATAGATACCATAAAAACTAGATTGCAAGTAGGTTATATTATTTTTATGTTTTGAATTTGCACATATGTATGATTTGTTCTCGTATACGGCGGCATTCGGTATTCATTTTGTGCTTCTAGCCTGTTTACAGTGTGATTACTTTTCAGATATTGATTTTCTCTCCATGTCCTGGTTTCGCCCAGTCTTATAAAATGTCTTCTTGGTTTTTTGAATTCATCTCCATGTCCTGCTTCCGTCCAATGTTTTAAAATGTCTTCTTCTTGATTATCAATTCGAAATTTTGAAATGACTGCATTTGGATTCAACAAAAGGTAAACATTTGACCGAGTTTCTTGTTGTCTAAGAAAAACTATTGATCTTCTGCAAAGCATGCATAGAGTTTACTTTGGTTTATATAATTTGCAACGATAATTCATTTTAAATATTATTTTGCTTCTTTTTCGTGGTTTGGATTCAGGCAGTTAGTGGTGGGAGTCAAATTGTTTTGAAGGGCCTCTACTCTGGATTGGCTGGAAATCTTGCTGGTGTTATACCGTAAGCTGAAACTATTAACCATTTTTTCCAGAGCTTTAATACTAAGATTACACTCGTAACTTTACTTCTCTTATTACTTCAGTATATATGTTCTGTATATTACTATTTTCATTAAAATATCCTGCATCGAATTCTATTTTCAAAGTATTTTCCAGCATTGATTTAAAAGCTTCTGATGTCTTGCCCTCTGAGAATGACCGTGAAATACAATAAGTCAAAAAATGGTTTGACTCGATATTTTTCTGCCATCATTTATTTGGCATTTAAGTCATCTCTTTCAAATATGGTTTATGGACCATTTTCTACTTTAGTGATGGACTTTGTTAGTTGAAGTTATGGAAGTAAATGTGAGAATAAAGGAAAAGCTTGAATTGACTGTGCTCTCTGATGTCATCAATATTATTGAGTGATTCGAAGATGCTGGACTGTGGTGCATTGTAAGGGACAGCCGTTTTAACCCTGATGGTTTAGCATGTGAACGGAGAAATGCTTTAGTTTAATGTAAGAGTTTGGTACTAGCTTGTTACCTGCCTATGTACAAAATGTCAGTCTACTCTTCCAAATACTGAGACAAACAAAATGCCCATTTTAAGGAAATTATTATTATTATTATTATTATTATTATTATTATTATTATTATTATTATTATTATTATTATTATTATTATTATTATTATTATTATTATTATTCAGTTTCTTTATTTGATGCTATAGTATTTTCTTACTCTTTCCGTCTCTAAGATTATTTAGCAATGAAAAGAACGTTGTAAAATAAGTCACCACAGTTATTATGGTTTAGTTATTATTTGTGATGGATAACATCATATATTCCGTTCTCTTTTTCCAGTGCCTTGAAGAACTTTGCTGACAACATAAATGATAACATACTTGTTACAGGGCGTCGGCACTATTCGTCGGCGTATACGAACCTACAAAGCAGAAACTGCTGAAGCTATTTCCTGAAAACTTCTCTGCCGCGGCACACTTGGTAAATATTAGCTAATAAGAATATGACTGAAATGCATATTTATTATTCTTCTCCTTTTTCCTTTTCTTGTTTCGTTTGAGCCATAAGTGGGATTATTCTTCTGGTTATCATGGTAGTTTGCTTCTTCGTTAGTCTATCATGGATTCATGGTACAGACGGACATCGTGCAACTCCATTCCTTACAAATCCATTTTTTAAGGCTATGTATTTTATATTTGTATAATCTCTCTCCTTGAGAATAATTCATTGAAAATTTCACTTAGATTTACATTCGGCAAATTGTTATTTTGATAAAATGGAAAAAGTGGAACTTGTCAAGCATTCAGTAAGATATATGATATCTTTGATCTTGTTGGAATGAATGTATAGAGCATATAGGCTGCAGGTGCTGTTGGAGGAGCAGCTTCATCTATCGTCCGAGTACCTACTGAGGCAAGTTTGTTTGACATTATATATCTTTCTCTCATGCACAGACGAACACATACACAGGCAGTTTTTTCTTTTATTTATGCAAATGTCCACTCCCACAGGCGCACATACTAGTGATTAATCATAGATAAATGAACATATTCATGTATATTAGAAATACATGGTGTGGCATATATTACATAGATGTTCCTCTGGCTGATACTGTAAGACTTGAGTAGGTAATTAAACAAAGGATTCAGACTGGCCAATTTGCTTCGGCACCTGAAGCTGCTCGCTTGATAGTTGCAAAAGAGGGTTTTAGAGGCCTGTATGCGGTATGTGTTACAATGTTTGGATTTGTTTTTATTTTAGTGAGCTTTAATTTCTATCGAAATGCCTTCACATTTTTTTTTACGTCCTTGATATTCTCCGGCCTTTGGTACAACTAGGAAGATGCACGTGCTATGCACGTGATATTTGTTTTTTTTTTAAATTATTTTTAGTATTAGGTTTATATTTAATAGTATAATATAATTTTCTTTCAATTAGTTTAACAAAAATTGGTGTATTTTATTGAATAATGAAATATAGTATTTAATACTATTAACTGAACTCTTTTCTATGATAAATAAAATTAAATAGAAAACATTGGGTTGGAAACCCTAAAAATAAAATTAATATTTTTTAGTCAAAATGTAAATGCTAAAGAAATTTATATAGTCTTTGATGTTGTTATTGTATGATATCTTCATTGTGCTTAAATTAATGATCACTATTAATGTCATAATTTAGCTTTCTAATGTCATCCTTTTGCATCATACTCTACGAAAAATAACTCAATATTGCTATAACTATAATTTATAATGATTATTTTTTATTTATTATTGATTGAAAGCTAACTATGTTTGAATAATTCTTTCTCAATTATTTTGGTTACAGTGGTTGCAAGTTTAATTATATTTGCAAGTGTAATATTTCATAATACTTAGATATATATAATTATTACCTAGTCATAATGACATAAGAGATACATAGATATTTGAAAATGTCTTTAAAGTAGTGATTATTTAAAAAAAAAATTACTTAAAAAAGCTTAGGAATAATTAACATATTTATTGATTAAAGATACCCATCTATCTGTATATCTTTTCCGACATAAATTATTGTTGCATCTCCTAACATTGTCATATAGTCATTATCTTTCCGAATTTTCAAGACTATCTTAGATGTGAAAAGTTACTAATTCCAGTTTAAATGATTTGTAAAATGATGATTTTTTCATACTTTATTTTTATCTTAACATTATTTTTATATCTTCGTCAACTTTATGTTCCCTACTTTGGCTTAAAATAATGATCATTAATATTGTCATCAAATAGTTTTCTAATTTCATCATTTTGCATCATACTCTTTGAAATATAACTCGAATTTGTTATAACTATAATTTGTAATGATGATTTTTTATATTGTAGATTGGAAGTTAAAACATCATGTGTGAATAATTCGTTCTCAATTATTTTAATTATAGTGGTTGCAAGTTTAGTTCTATTTGCAAGTATAAAATTTCATAATACCTAGATATATATAATCTTTCTCTAGTCATAATGACATAAGAGATACATAAATATTTGAAAATGTCTTTCAAGTCGTAATTATTTCAAAAAAGAAATAAAAAATAAAAAAAAAATTACATGAAAAAGCTTGGGAATAATATCTTTATTGATTAAAGATACCCATCTATCTATATATTTTGTCCAACATAAATTATTGTTGCATCCCCTAAAATTATCATAAATGCATTATCTTCGTTCACGGATTTTCAAGACTATCCTAAATGTGAAAATTTAATAAGTCTAGTTTTAATGAATTATAAAATGATGATTCTTTTATATATTTTTTTTCTCTTAACATTATTTTATTATCTTTGTCAATATTTTATATAGTTTATTTTCCCTACAATTGAGAAGTGATTTGAAATATTTAATTTATTAATGATTTTATAAATAAGATATGCTAAAGACAACAAATTTAAAGTAAATTTATTGTTTATTTTTATTTAATTAATTATAATTGTAAATATTTTCTAATAAGTACATGTATTATGAAATTCAAGATTTAAGATCAAATTTTATTTATTTTATTTTATTTCTGTAATTAATTCAGTAAATGCTATTTTAATTTATGTAACACATTATTATAAAAGAACATTTGTACTATGCATATTATTAACAAGTAAATATAAATCATATTAGGCATATTGGTTTAGTGGATAATGTAAACAAATATTTCAGCTAAGATCATATATTTTTTACTTAACAAATAACTTTTTCCCATAGAAAGTTGACATTTTGTATGTTGAATAATTATTTTTTATTCAATCATTTTTAAACATATGCACGTTCGCTAAATTGTTCATCTTTAAAACTTTTAATTCTATAACCAAAAATTTGTATGGTAATCAATATGATATTTGGAAAATAAAGATGATACCTTTAGCGGTGCATTATATATTTTACACGTATGAAATATCATATATTTTATTTTAAAAATCTCAAAATAATTTTTTCTCTTACATTTGAAAACTACCTTGAAAATAATCAAATTGAATCCTAATGTCATATGTAGATTAATTTAGAATAATATAAGTAAGAATAAATTAATATTTAAAATATATGAATTTGCGTAGGTAATATTTTGTATGTGTAAGAATTTAAAGATATAATTAATCATAAATAATAAAAGATAATAAATAAAAGTTGTAACTTCCTAACATAATAACCTTAAAACTTATCTTTTTATGAGGGTATTCTTGGCAATTCAAAAGTTTCAAGAAACAACTCTTCCTAAGAGAGTTAATATAGATTATAGATGAGCCCAGTGCTTGTTCAGGATACTGTATCATCTTTCTTGACTTAACAGAGGCTATTACCTGAGAATAACTATATCATGTTTTGCACTTTCAGTGTTATTACAATAGTTTTATTCTTATATTGCTTTGGCATAAGCTTCACTAACGGCTGTTGACTTTGAAGATTTTTAAGCAGTTGCTTCTTGATTGGTTTTGGTGATGCAGGGATTTGGATCCTTTCTGTTGCGAGACTTGCCTTTTGATGCGATTCAATTCTGTATTTATGAGCAGCTTCGAATTGGCTACAAATTAGCTGTTAGTTGAAACCATTTTGTTCAGACAAAATTAAGTTGCATTTGCTTGATACATGCAGTTCACGGATGTTCATGTTGAGCATTGGGCGTGCTTGGATACAAATATACCCGCTGAAAACGGATTTTTTTGGTTAACCAGGGTTAATTTGGAAAATTGTGGTATGGTTTGTTGTTAGTTGGAATTTTAGTTTATTATAATAATATTTAAAATAAAGTAATATAAAACTGATTTGATGTAAAAGTAGGAGAAAGATGATGTGAAGTGATTTGTAGTTAAAAATATATGAGTGGATGAATGGTGAACTAAATTTGATGTAATGTATAAGAATGAGTGATTGAGTATATATTGAATTTATTTGTATCCAAACACACCCTAAGAATTGCAGTTTTTCATTCAGAACTAATATTTCTTGCAAATTGGTTATTGAAGGATGGATTAGCATTACAACCTCGAGTCAAATCCTTGGAAAATGTTTCAAGGCGACATAAATCTTGATGTCAGTTTGGTTAGAGTTAGAACATATGAATTCTTGGCTGGATGAATGACCAGTATTTCTAATGGACATTTATTGGTTCATCGTGATCGAGTTGCATAGGCCTAAAGTATAACGGAAACCGGAAGGCTGATTGCACACACCTTAGTATATGCTCAAGCTAGAATCAGCTGAGCACACTTAAATACTTGAAATTTCAAATTCTTGATTCCATAAACACGTTTCTTGGGTAATTATACGTTCTATGACTCCCATAGTGTGGCTTGGTTACGAGTTTGTCTTAAAATGATAATTAAACAGAAAATTTAGCTCATATAACTTCAATTTTAAGTCACTTGTGGCCTATGATATAAGGATTATATCTCTTTTATATATCTATAGTCTAAACTTTTCTAGCTGCTTATGCTGCAGGCCAAAAGGGACTTGGATGATCCTGAAAATGCAATTATTGGTGCTTTTGCTGGTAAAAAAAATATTTTATTACTTACTATACAGATCTCTTATTTTCTGTACACTGTCTCTCACATTTGACCTTGACGTGTGTATCTACGCACGTAAGAAGTTGCATTGATTAGCGCCGCTGACTAAGCAATATGTAATTTGTAAATTAGGAAAAGATATTATGTCGCCACAATTTAAAATACCTAACTATGGGCTGGTTGGTTGGAATCCTGTAAGCCTCCGGTGCGTGCGTCCATGTTGCTTTGGCATTTGTGTGTGTGTGTGTTGAGAGTCTATTCAGCACAAATAATAAAAAGCCCCTACTATATATTTCTTTTTTTTTTTTT